ACGTTGAGCAGACCTGCTCTGCTACTGCCTAACAAAGAGTCCTGTTGACTGACCATGGAGTTCTCCTTGGCTAGGAGCAGCAATAAGGACTAAGAAAGGAGCACATGGCAAAGCTGCTCAACTGTACACAGGGGATTATACTTAAGCTCATTTTTCTTCAGAGTACTATTCTTTGTTATATCCCTTTCCTCTTTTTGCTTTGAGTCCTTGAGAACATGGGAACAAGAATGCAAGGGAATTGGGACTTAGATCCATGCACAAAAGACAATGTCTAGTACATAAATCAATTGTGCCCACGTTGCCAATTTGTGTTTCAGTGTAACTGCCTCAGCTCACTGCTGCACACTGCGGGTCTAATCCGAAACTCAAAGAAGTCAGTGGAAATCTCTGCTCTGACTTTAAAGGGCTTTCGACCAGGGTTCAGGCAGGGGCCTGCCTGGTTGAAGTCTTACCATGAATGAGGTGAACAGAGCTCATATTATAAAACATCATTGCTATTTATAATATATACTATAGAATATTTACTAATACACTTTAATGTAGTGTCTTAGATAATGTTCTTTGGAGATTTCCATTAATTGTCTCTATGATGGTTCTTGTAATGTTTGTTTAGTAAAAATTAATTTGGTGCTTATATGGTGCAGTATGTGAAAAAAAACCCTCTGTAATCCCTTTTAACTGACTTTAAATGCTCTTTTGAATATAATTATTTTAAAGGATTAATAAAAAGTATTTTTAAAGTTAGTAATAATTAGACGTTTACAGAGAGACAGGTCATTTTATTGTCTTTGCATCTCTCTAAAATTGTATAATTTTCCTTTCCTACATTATTTTATTGTATTAAAATGTAAGCACGCCGGACAAAAATTCGCATTATGTTAGTAAAAATTAATATAAGGTAGATAGGACACTAATACAATGACTGTAATCTGCTAATACAACACGGTCTTCATATTATGTTTAAACAAGTATTGAGTTCTTAATCATTTCAATGTATTTCCAAAACGCTGTCTCAAAATGATAAAATAGAGGATATCTCCCCATTTAGTTTTTTTTTTATTTATTTTCGTTTACTGCTAAAAAACAAGGAACAGTTGATAATAAGATAGCAGCATTTCTGTATTCTGGACTTCAGGACACAGAAGTCCAGCAATTTAAGCTCTAATCAGCCTGAGGAGAAGATTCTAAAATCAGAAGCCACAAGGAGAACAGGAAGGTAGCATTAAGTCTTCTGAGATGTGCAAAATATCACCAAGTATAACCAGAGAGATTTCTAATCAGGAATGGAAAGAATGGTGTGAATTTCAGCACTGCCTCTCAACAACAACAAAAATGTATCAGTAAATTCAGGGAAAAAAAATGGTTTCTTTATCAATAAAATGAAACTGAATCAAAAGGCTTGCCTGATAGTATAGTGGTTAAAATTCAAATAATACTTAGAACCTCTACATTGTTTTTCTCCTAAAAGTGTTTACTGTACATAAGCATGAATGTGTGTTAATTCTCAATATATCTATGACCAGTAGACAGTTTTTTTTTTTTTTTTAATTTTACACTAGTAAACTGAAAGGGAAATATAAGAAGTCAATGGCGGATCCAGAACAGACCTCAGTTTAGGGTCTCTTAGTACCTGCTTTGACAAATAAGTAACAGTCTCACACTCTATTTTGCAGTACAAACAGGCCAAACCAATGAGTCAAATCTACCTCCATTTCCAGCAGCAATGAATAGATATGATGTTTTGTAGACAGAAGGCCTTTTAACAATTGTAAATTTAAGATATAAATCATTAAATATGCAGGTGCTTCATGACTTAGAAATTGCCAGTTTTAATTTCATTGCAGTGCTTCCTTAATTGCTCTAAATAAGGACCTTTGTTAGCTCTTTTGATGTCTCTGATGAACAAAATTATTTTATTTTTTTATGAAAGATTCAAATAAAGACAGGGATCAAATTAATTCAACAGCAAAACTGATGCTCATTAAAAAATGTTGAAAAATGCTCTATTTGTGTTTCTATGGAATATAGGATGAGACTGTGCTATTTTCTCCTTTGTGCACAAGCAATTGACGCAGTGCTCTATGCCAAGTGTGGTGGTGGTGGTGGTGTGACAGCCCTTCCAAACGGTATCTAAAGCTAAATAGCATCTGAAGCACAGATTTGGTATCTGAATGAATCCAGCATATTCCATCCTCAAGCAAACCAAATTATCACAAGACTATCTAAGGACAGGGTGAACTACAAGTACCGTAGCGTTTTGCACTAATATTTTGTTATTGTTAAGTAGAAAGGGCAACCAAGCCAGCGGCTGTTACCAATTCCTAAGCAGACAACATATTTTATAGTAGAGATTCCCATGGCAGGAAACTCATATTACTGATGCTGCAGGACAATATATGGACCAAGTTGAGTCTTATTGGAGAAGCTAAACTAACCACCCTGAGACTAAAAGTAGCATCTGGAAATATGCATGCGTAAAAGGAAGGGAACAAGGAAACGTCGGAAAGAAACACAGAGAATAAAGAGAAAAATGGCCAGAACCTGAACATTCACAGTGATCCTGAAAGATTCAAATTGTACTTAATATTATGCCCAATTGCAGTAGGCCTTCCTTCTGAAGTTCATTGCCTTAATTTTCAGTAATAGCATAAAAAATATTTAGCCTGTAATTACGGCATTGTACTAGTTCAGTGTTCCATGGGAATGTCAGAGCCTGACGTGTTTCCTTCATAAGCGTCATCACTTGGCAGGGCTTTGGGACAGGAATTTAAGTGAGAAAGGCAGTTAGCTGATGAAAATGCAATAGATCAGATCATCTGAATATTTGTTGAAATAAGCTGTGAACAAAAAGCGGGCCCATGAAGGATTTGAAACGGAGCAAGCTGTGAATGCTGGTCACAAGGTTGCTCTCCCTTTTTACCATGCATAAAAACACTCTGCACAGATTGTTTCAAACAAAAGCAGAGTAAGTTGCAAATCCTGGTTAGTAGCCAACAACCACTTCTGCAGCTTTAGCAAACACTGACCTTTGGAGTATAAATGCTTCTAGATGGTGAAAGCCAGGGAGGAGCCTTTTGACATCTTTTCTCAAACAAGGATCTTTTGCTAAGTCAGAATTTGCTGCAGCGGAATTGAGGTTTATTCTGAATTTTGGCTTCCTGAAGTGGCAAATACAATGATTTTGTAATCATAAAATGAACAGCAAGTGTAAATTTGAGTACTTCATTTATGTGCACGACCAGTGCCAATTTGTGCCAAAAACTGGATTGCGGATGCTAAATTATGAGCACAACTTCTGAAGATACAAACTGTGTCATGAAGTGAATGACAAACTACCAAACATGAATTTACAGACCATAAAGACATCACATTTTTGGAGTGTTCTCAAATTAGGTAACATTAAGAAATCTCATTCAGATGAGTAGTGTAACTATCTGGAATAAATGCCAATGAGTATCCAATATCGTTTATTAATTACCACTTTCCAGTCTGTATACCAAACAGATTCAATTATTAAATGTAAATAAAATAAATCTCTTAAAAATTGATTTCCCAGATGAGAGGAAAAAGTAGTTAGCAAGCTGAGTGTGAAATTTACATGTAGTTCATGAAAACGTGATTACTTACGGAATTAATTGATTTCAGAAATGAATCTGAGGGTGCAAAATTCTGGCATAAAAAGTAAGCGATCCTGAAGATCCTGTTTTATGTCCATGAGAAAAGTGATTATTTTTTCCTTCCATGTACAGCCAACGTTAGAGGCTGTGATCTACGCGAGAAATCCCTACTGAAGGTAGAGTCCCCGTTATCCCTCTTTATCTTTTGTAATGCTTAACCATTTGCCCCCGTCTCTTTTCCCACAGCTGAACTGTTTGTCCACAACTTGATTTTGTCCTGATTTGATTCAGCAATTTCTTTCTTGCTACTAAGATTTCCTTTCCAATCTGTCCAAAATATCACTCCAAAGCGGAAGCGTCCAGAGTGCACACACTCGGGACATCTTTTGGACGGGATGTTCCCATACCAGGCGCTCCCTGGATCACAATCCCAGATGAGCTTCCCAAAGGACTTTTCACCATCCTCGGAGCACCCTCATGAAAATCCCAGCTCGGTGCCTACAAGCTGCTCCACAACCTGCAGCGTCCGGGGCTCAGCTCATCCAGGCTTTCTCTGTTTTCATAGCAACGCAACACATTTGGGGCAATCCCTAAAGGCATTTTCTATCCGTGCGGAGTGAAGTGGCAGGCCCTCCCCAGTTGGTCCCAGTGTAAACATTTTTTTATTGTGTTTCTGTGGATTTATTCTTTTGAACGGCTGCCACTGCCGTACTGCGGTGCACAACCAGGGAGCTGCTGCTGGTGAGC